ACGTTCGTGACAACTACCCACCATTGTGACCTGTACGCTCTCGTTGGCTGGCCCTCACTACATATTCATCGCCAAACCCACTGGCTCCAGGTCATCTATAAAACAATCCTCGCCTTATCTTAGCTCATTGGTCACCATAGCAACACCCACCTGCAGCAGGTATATCTCACTGGTCATCCCCAAAGCCAACACCTCCTTTGGCCGCCATTCTTTCCAGTTCTCTGCTGCAAATGACTGGAACGAACTGCAAAAATCTCTGAAGCTGGAGACACTTATCTCCCTCACTAACTTTAAGCATCAGTTGTCAGAGCAGCTTACCGATCACTGTACCTGTACACAGCCCATCTGTAATTAGCCCACCCAACTACCTCATCCCCATATTGTTATCTACATTGTTATTTATTTTGCTCATTTGCACCCCAGTATCTCTATTTGCACATCATCTTCTGCACATCTATCACTCCAGTGTTAATACTAAATTGTAATTATTTTGCACTATGACCTATTTATTGCCTTACCTCCATAACTTACTACATTTGCACACACTGTATATATATTTTCTATTGTGTTATTGACTGTACGTTTTGTTTTTGTTTATTCCATATGTAACTCTGTGTTGTTGTTTTTATCGCACTGCTTTGCTTTATCTTGGCCAGGTCGCAGTTGTAGAACTTGTTCTCAACTGGCTTACCTGGTTAAATAAAGGTGAAATAAATAAATTAACAAATTTAAAAAACAAGAGATGATGCAAAAAAATGTCTGTAAGTCATGAAAGAGAAAAGAAACAGAGAGATATGGTTTTGAAGTTGATCTTGTAAAAAAAAAGCAATGGTGGGCAAACCTGACAAATTGTAGCATTGTAGTATTGTACAGAGCTAGTGCCTAATCACAAGCATATTTCACTGTTGAATGATGTGGGGTTTGTTTTCTGTTCTGTGTCCTGTGTTAGAGTGCCTGAGGAAGTGGGTCTTAGCAACCACCACACAAAGTGTTTGCAACTCACCGAGTGAGAACACAGGAAAGAGCCTCAGACAAGAAAAGGCAGAGACACGTGTGGCTTCAAAAACGTGAAAAAGTAGTGTGTTTGTGTGTGTCAGGGCCCATGTTCCCTCCACCACTACAGGCACTCTGTTGTCCTTCAGACAGTTGCAACCACCTCCACAACCCACTTTACCGTCCCCCACACACTGAGTCAGCTGAAAACAGAGAGGGACGGAGGGTGGTGAGAGAGCACTCCACTGCCCTCGGGCCCACACAGCCCATCAGCTCTTTCTATTGATGAGAGAGCACAGACAATCAGGCCAGGCAGCAGGCAGCTATACTGAAACAATGAGGGGGCGGATCGAGAGACGGAGTGTGTCAGAGTCAGAGATGGAGAGATTGATAGTGAGTGCGTGGGGAGCGAGAGAGGGAACGGATACTTCCAGAAGGACATATACAGTACTATAGGAAGAGAAAGAAGAAAAGAGAGAATGAGAATAGAGACAGGAAGCGGCTGTAGCAGGTTGAGAAAGCACTGGTTGAGGGAGTATAGCGTGTGAACCTCTCTGAGCGCTGTGCAGAGGGGTGGAAATGTGTCTGGTTAAAACTGCAGGGAATAATCAGGTATGGTTTGACTCACCTGCTGTGCATGCGTTCCCCCTGTCACGACAGCTTCCCACATCACAGGTGAGCCAGCAGAGCGCTCCCCGGCAGTCTCAACCCAACAGCACCTGGGGCTAGGTACACTGTGCCAGAGAGGAAGAGATAAAGCACTCTGGAATTTAATTTACTGGCACACTAACTAGAATTTGTTATACTGTACAACAACATTTTCCATTACCTTCTGAGTATGGAGCCAGGGTCCTCTTATTGCTAACTCGTTTGCACGGTTGACGTACATGTCTCATTCACTCAAAAAACAATGGTTTCAATGATGTCATACTTGTAAACTTATGTTAAATGTATGGGGTTTACTTGATATGAACTGTGATTTAATGATGTAATGAATCTATGCAGAAAGTAAAATGGCTTGTCATTCCCATGTATAACATTTAGCATGACATATCTCACTGTAATGAATGAACAGGGAATATACATTTTAGCCCTGTTTATTCTGACATTTATTTTTTATGCCTGTCAAGCTGACAGACTCATTCATCAGAAAAGCCACCATGATGCTTCAGCTGCATAACCAGTTCTATATCGTGGAGCTCCGCCCCATAGGGGAGCTCTGCTCCTATTGGTTTACCCACTGCCCTAAGGCAGCATCAGTCTGAGACAAAATTATGCACACACCTGCAGCCAATAGGAGTACAGGTGTTCCCTATAAGAGGGGATGCCTCCCCTCAATCAGCCTCCCTTTATCTTCAGCGACTGGACTAGACTGAAGAAGCCAAGAAGAGACGAAGAGAAGAAGAGAAGACTCAGGACGAGAACGCCGTCGTTTTTTCCAGTCATCGACGTCGTCCAGCAATGAGCACACCAGGAGATTTTCCACCCCCCAAAAGCTCTTTTCAGAGCTCAATGCAGATGCTCCTCCATGGCGGCCGGCGACTCCCACGACCTTATGTTTATGTGTTACCCCTCCTGAGTGGCGCATTGGTCTAAGGCACTGCATCGCAGTGCTAAATGTGCCACTAGAGACCCTGGTTCGAATCCAGGCTCTGTCCACAGCCCGGCCGCGACCGGGAGACTCATGGGCCGGCGCACAATTCGTCCAGGGAGGGGAGGAATGGCCGGCAGGGATGTAGCTCAGTTGATAGAGCATGGCGTTTGCAACGCCAGGGTTGTGGGTTCAATTCCCACGGGGGCCAGTATATAAAAATAAAATAAAAACAATTATTCACTACACTGGAAGTCGCTCTGGATAAGAGCGTCTGCTAAAAAATT